TCTGTAGTAATAGGACTAGTAAGGCATCTATTTGTCAAAAAACATTTCCTGAATTTTTTTGTTGTCTCTATTGTTACAGACATACTTGCTGACAGGTATTTTGAAATACATTACCAAAATAAATTGAATCTTGCATTGGTATGTTGTGTTATTTTGACAAATAAAATATGCAGAATTTTAAAATATTGTGCACAGGATTTTTTATTTTTTGGCATAGAAGACCCCCAAGAGTAATCAACAAAATTGAGACATACGATCCTGGTCCTGAAATCAGATCATTGTGTAAGAATGCACACACATGGAGTCCCACTGAATTCAATGGGGTTCTGCACAGGCACCTGGGTCCTCTCATTTCTCCCACTTCCTTCAAATGAATCTAATGTATATTTAATATTTAAAGTGGCTGATTTTTTTACAAAAAAAAAACAAAACAAATTTTATTAGAAGATCACAAAAGGAAAAGACCAGGACAACTCCATATGAGGCGATTATTTTATGAACTTTTTAAAACAAGCTCTAACAAGTTCATAATATGCTACAGATTCACAATCTATTTTATAAGGCCCCAATCCAGCAAACATTTACATAGGTAGTTAATTTTACATATTGTCTTCAGTGAGTCTAGACACATGTGAAGTTAAGCATTTCTGTGTTTGCAAGATGAAGGCCTAATAATTTGCAAAAGACAGAATCTAGCTCTGTGGGCTCAATCTTGCTCCTACTGACTTCAGTGATTTAACACCTGGCCATGCATGACTAGGTTGTTCTTAGACCCTTAAATAGCACTTATAAAGAAGTTTCTGTACATTCTTGTTTTTAATCTCAGGAATAATGATAAATTTTATCATAATAGTTATAAACCATTGTATCAGTAACACTGTGGAGTTTGAGTATTCCAGATACTACACTGAGCCAGGGGTGGCTCTATGTATTTTGCCGCCCCAAGCACGGCTTTCGGCGGCACGCCTGCGGGAGGTCTGCTGGTAACGCGGATTCAGCGGCGCGCCTGTGGGAGGTCCCACGCCTTCGGCGTACCCGCCACCAAATTGCCACCGAAACCGCAGGACCAAAGGACCTCCCGCAGGCATGCCGCCGAAAGCAGCCTGACTGCCGCCCTCACGGCAACCGGCATGCCGCTCCCCGCAGCATGCTGCCCCACGCACACTCTTGGAGCGCTGGTGCCTGGAGCCACCCCTGCACTGAGCATACGCAATACACACTGTTATGGAAAGGCAGTTACTGCACCCATTAAGGCGATACTGTAGGATACATTTTCAAAGCTTTAGAAATGGATTTCACCACTCAGCTTTCATTGCTGTTAATAGAAGTCATACAGTTAACTCCTCCTGTATTACTCTGAAAATTTAAACCCAAAACCTGTTTTGCAAAAGAAAAAAAAACATTTACACCCTTTTCTGCTTTGTTATGATGTATAACAAAAAACAGAAAAGGTACATTTGAGGGATTTAAAAGCAGGTGGCTGATTTAAAAAAAAAAGGAAAAAACTAGACTAGAGGACTAGATGGAAGCTTACTTACTCATCAACTAACCACTAGTTCTCCTGTTCCTCAAGAAAGCAAAACAGGGAATTCAAGACCTGCTTTTTCTAATAAAAAGCATAAGCAGGAATATAGACAACTTAAAAAAAAAATCAGGCTTTCATTACACTGTATAAAGAAATAAAAGAAGGCAGAAACATTATTCTTTTATTGCAGGTCATATGAAAGGGATTTTTCCCCATTGTTTCTATTTTAAATGACATAAAAATGCTATAATTGTCACCAATATAGAAAATACTCTAAAATTTAAAAAATGAGTAAGTCTACACAAATGAAACAAAACTATTTAAATAATAGGCACACAAAGAAGGATCTGAAGACACAGGATTCTGCAGAAGACCCAAAGTTATTTAAAACTAAAAAGTTAGCTGCTGAAGTAGACTTATGGTGAGCACAACAATATACCACATGGAGCATGTTTTTATTGTTCACTTAGGATCCAATCCTGCATAAATCTTATGCACAAGCTTAACTTTAAACCAGTGTTTTTCAACTTTTTTTCATTTGCAGACCCCTAAAAAATTTCAAATGCACGTGCAGACCCCTTTGGAAATCTTAGACATAGTCTGCAGACCCCCCAGGCGTCCACGAACCAAAGGTGGAAAACTGCTGCTTTAAACACACAAGTTGTCCCGTTGACTTCAGTGGATATACTTGCATGCACAACATTAAGTATGTTTGTAAGTTTTTGCAGAATAGAGACCTTACTTTAGAAAAACTTCATTGAATATAGTGGACATATTGAAGGACCGTTAGCCATAGTAATGTGTATAGCTCATTATTCAAAAGCTATACACACTTATTTCCTAGTAATCTGAAACTTTAAAAGGCTCTAATTGGATGTGTTTAATAATCATTTACAGAAATATGAGATCCATTGTAACCTGGTTCACAGTACACCAATCACTTCAAAAGACAATGTCATGAGTTCTAGTGGTAACAAATGCAAAATATGGAAGGCAAAAAGGCAGATAGGAATGGCTATAGAGGGAAAGACAAGCAATCACAAAAGGTATTGAATTTATTTTCTAGACACTATATTAATTCAACTTCACTATCATATATAACATTGTACAGGCAAGTAGTAATAATAAATTAAATTTTTACAGGCAAAATTCTAACCTTCCTTGCACATACGCTAAATCAGAGCAGGCTACATACAGCAGTCCTCTGAGCTCTACGTGGAGTGTGGATGGCAAGTTTTGGGAGTGTGTATAGCTTCTTGTGTATATGTTGCCTTTGGTGTCTGGTAGTAAGAGAAGCAAATGCAGTACTATTTACTGAGGCTCTTTTCGGAGCAGCAATAAAGAGTAGAGTACTGCATAGTGTGCTAGTCACCACCCCCCAAGATACCCTACCTACAGCAAATAAGATATCTCAAGGACCCTTTACTCAGGCATTACCACTCCACTTTTTCCAGAAACCCTCATTCACAAGCCCAAAATTTGCCATATATTGGGATTCTGATTACACCAAACCACAACAGCCAATATAAAATAGCTTTATAATTGACTTGCCTATAAATCTTACATTTCATTTTAAACACACACACACACACACACACACACACACACACAGAGTGGTATGGTGTCTGTCACTCCAGTAAGAAATTCAAGTGTGGATATAACTAGGAATTCTCTTAAAAACAGATGTTCTTGGCAAAACGCACTCACTTTATTCACTTGTCTTTACATTTTCACATTAGGAGTATTTTTTTTTTTTGGAAGGTTTATGGTTTTCCTTTCATTTTTCATCTGAACGCTAATGCTTCAAATCCATCGTTCCAAGCTCCACCTGGGAAATGCTGCAAGCAGGATTCCATGGACATCTTTCCATGTTGTTCTCCCCCTCACCCAATTTCATCCTTGCTACAATACACTGAACAGACACAAATCTATGTTCCACTTCCCAAAGAGTATTAATTAACCATTTCAGCTCCTATTACTGAACTCCACCAGATCAAAAATATTTGGTCAGCATATTTTGTTTCATTTTCCTTATACTAGTTATTTTCACCTTTGTAAAAAGACACAAACATACAGTTCACTCACAGATGGCTTACCATATTACATTTCTTCCTGAACTTCCACTCAGAAATGGGTGAGAGACCCTCTCTTTCCCTGGTAAAACATACATGTAATAGAAACTGTCTGTTTCATATCTCATTTCTTTTTACATTTTAGCCTCCAACAAGCAACCCAAGAACACCAGTAATAAATAAAATTCTGCTGTATTTTTCAATTTGCTCCATATTTTTAATCTTTATTCACACTATGGGAAGGGTAGGAAGGGAAGATATTTAACCCTTGTTTTCCTTGCATAGCACACAAGTAACCGTTTTTTTGTGTGTGTTTCTTTCATATGAATTCTCTCTGCAGCAGCAAAGTCTCTGGAAATAAAATACACCATGTTCTGACAGCCACTTTTTCCCCCCTTTGTCTTTATTTTTCCACATTGCTTAAGGGGAGGTTTGTCTCATTGTATCATTATAGTTAAACCCATTAGCCTTTAAAATAAACATATATCATTTAAGACCAACCTTATGCCCATTCAATCTGTTGTTTTAAGGACATTTACTTGATCTTTTAATTGAAAAAAAATGGTTTGTATTGATACCATTTTAGTAAATTCATCTTATTAGCCTAACATTTACTACACTACTTAAATATATAAATAACCATAAATTACTGTGAGCTTCATATTATTGATTACAAATTGATATCACTGATCCAGTGGCCATCTATTTGACAGTCCTGGTACTACCGGTCCTTATATTATATTGAGCCAGTCTCCATACAAGAGGTGCAATATCTATGCAATTGACAGTCCCTCTTTATATTGGTAGAAGGGAACCAGCCCCCATGTGATCAATTCGCTGTCAATACCACACTATCAAGGTATTTTGGAACCAGTCCCTATTACTACAACTCTCTCTGTGTGTGTACCATTTACCCACCCCCATGAACATGGCTCACGGATGGATCTGGTCGCCAGCCGCGTCACTCCCATAGGTGCGAACAATGCGGTGCTGGTCGATATAATTTCAACCCAGTGACCAATGCACCCCCAGCCTTACTGACCCCAGGCTCGGTGATATCAGTCCATGTCCATGCCACTGCCGGGCTCTCTGCGCCGCGCAGCCGGTCCCCCCTCAAAAACGCTGGGAGCACCGCCAACCTCCCCCCACCCCCCCCCGTGGGGGGAGGGGAGGATTGAGGCGATTTCCAATCGCCCATCGATACCAATATCGCCACACAGACCCCGATCCGTCACGAAATATCGCGACACCCCCCCAATGGCTACGCCGCCAAGTCCCCGCACCCCTCCCGCCTCCGATACGCCAGCGCCGATCCCCACACACCTCTCCCCCCCCCTCCCATCGACACACGCCGCCTAATCCCCACACCCCCTCTCCTCCCCCTCAGGAGTCGCTGCCCTTACCTGGGGCGGCGGAGCGCGGGCTCCGAGGCGAGGCTGCCCTCCGACTCCGGGCGCCTCCCTCTCACCACATCCCCGCTGGCCCCCGGGAGCCTTCCCTGCCGGGGCGGGGACAGGGTGGCTGTTCTTGCCCCTCAACGGCTCTCGCGCTCCACCGCGGCGGTTACCTCAGCCCCCACCCACCCCCAAAAAATATATAAAACACCCCAAGTCTCCCCCCCCTCCGGATCCCCTCCCCGCAGAGCGCGAGGGGGCGGGCGGGCGCGCGCGCGCGGTGTCCCAAGGGAGGGAGCAGCAGCCCCTTTGCGCCTCCCGCCTCTGGCCTCGCGCCCGCCCGGCGCGCGTCCGCGCAGCCAACTCGCTCCCGAGTCGCGCGCGAGCGAGCGAGCGAGCGCCGGCTCCCTTCTGGGCTCGCGCACTCGGCTTGGGGAGGGGGAGGTCTCGGTGGGAGTGAGGAAGGAAACTCAAGCTACCCCTCCCTCTCTCTCTCTCGCCCTTGCGCGAGCGGGGACGCACGCGCTCTCCCAGCCTGTGTGTGTGTGTAATACACTGGAGGTGAGCCGCGCGCGGACCAGGAGGGGTCTGGTTTAATTATTCACGCGGGGCGTTGCTATGCAAATCGATGCTCCTCCCTGGCCCTGGCACCCCGCATAGCGTGCAGGAGGGACGAGTAATTCTTCACGAAGGGCGGGGTTATGCAAAACAGGTCGTCCTTCATCTCCTCCCGTGCGTTGCTTTTGCACCTGGTTTCTATCTCTGTCCTGTATTCATAACGGGGGGGGTGAATTTTTAATTACTTATTATATATTAATTATCCCTGTAATTACTGCATGTAGGGGACCAAGGTCTCTGACTATGAGTGAGCTGGGGGCTGGGTTGAAGAAGCACAGAAGACATGGGTGGCATGTAAGAGGGGAGCTCGCAGCCCGCTCTGTGTACTCCTCTCATCTGAAGTCCGTCTGGTCGTAGCCTTGCGACGTTTGTGATGTTCATGTTAAATCGGCAGGGAAACTTTCCCAGCAAGGAGGGGGTAGGGCTTTGGAGACAGTTCCCACTTTTAGAATTTTCTTTTATGAAGAATTTGGGATACTGGAATACTCTAGCATGAAACCCACGTTTGTCTGTGTTACTATAATGTATTTTTACTTCTTTCTCTCTCCAAAGGATTTTTCATCTGTGCAAGTGTGTGTGTGTGTGTGTGCAATGCATTACGCACGTAAAACGTATTTTCGGCAAGGTGGGGGGTTGTGCAGCGTTTCTGGTGTGGAATGTATTAGGGATGTATCTGATGCTATTTTTCCTACCATGCATTGTTCAGAGCTGCAACTGATACTGTACAAAAATTAAGTGCTACTAAACCAACAAAAGGGAAGGATGGGACTGAGGGGGAAGTTTCCGGCTCCAGCAGATGAGAGGGATTTTATAGAGGCAGGACCTGCACACAAGAGTTTTCGGGTGAATTCTGTTTCTGGGGATAGAGCTCCAACAGCTTATATGTCCTTCAGCTCCTCCAAGAGGACAGAAGGCGTTAAAGCTTTTTTCATTTTAAATCCTGATTTTTTGAAAGGACTAGGACTGAAGGGAGGAAATTTTCAGTGATGGTACTGTGAGGCAGTGGAAATACAGTAATTTCTACAGATAAAACTTCAATTAATTATATACAGCTCACTGTAAGTAGAACCTTCCTTCTGCCATATATAGGATGCTACTTGTTTATATAAGACAACTATCCTACTGTAAAAACATCACATTTTATTTGGTGCCTGTTAGTGTATAAAGTCTTTAAAGAATGGAAGTTATTTTTATTAAAATGTAAGAGGGACGCTCACTGTTCATATCTGTCCTTATGTTTAAGTTTTGTAAAACAAGCTATAACAAACCTAAGACAAACATTATCAAATTATTTTCAAGGTCCAATTAAAACACTTAGCAAAATATTGTAACCAAAATGCTGCAAAGAATGAGCTATATCATGAAATCTAAAGAGTTAATTTGCATTACGTTATTGGCCAAGCTGAGTGAAATGCAAATACTAAAGAAGTAGCATAACTAGTGAAAAGTAAACTAGATTTTTAAAAATTCTCTAGGGTATAATACTAATATATTAACTGTAGAAAGGGCAGTTTTATTGGATTTTTCATCTGACCATGACTCTTTATAAATAATTAATCAAAAAAAGTTTAATCTTATTCATCAGTAAAACCTTCTGTCTAGTCCCAGCATACAACATGTTCCCCTTAATTAAATTAATTGTAAGTGTACTACACTCTCTTGGGATGTCTTGTCAAAGCTTCTAGGTGCAGATTACTTGCCTCCATCTGATTGCAGAAAGGTTAAGAGCTTCACATCACATCTGTCCCTGGTGCCAAAGTTAATGACCAAATAAATTAAGCAACAGGGTGAACTGCAGTTCTGAACTGAGTGAATTATTTGCACAAAAGATAATTAATTACAGTAGAAGCAATCCCAGTTAGTTTGAAACTGTTAAAAACAAACTATAGCTACATCAGTTTTATTATTTAGTATATGAGAACTTCTGGCTGGTAGCATTAGAGCCCACCTCCTCTTATTTCTGGAATTAAGGAGCTATCCGATTGGGTGCACATGCATTCAGGTCCCTGGATTTTGCCTCCTGATTCGGTGATTTCTTTCACTGACTAATAATAATATAATTTAAAACAGCACATCAGCAGCACCTTTTAAAAACATTAGGGAAATCTTCCAAAAATCCTTTTGTTTAATTCTACAGCAAAAGTGCGTTCTGTAATTATTTCTATATAATTGTCTCTCATGTCACATTATAGTCTTTTGAGTCCACATATATTAAAAGCGAATAAGTAGCCAGAATTATTCCTTTTGCCCTTATAAGGTGTACTTGCATGGCAAATACACACTTCGCATACTGTTGCAGTTATAGTGGTTAGGAGTAATAATACTTCCACCTACAAGAAAATATTCTCAGATGTGCTGTTAATTACTTTATATAGCTACCCATATTTTTTTCTGAAAAAATAAAGTATGTTTCGAGACAGACATTGCGTAAGAAAGGGAGACCCTGTCGCTTCAGGCCAGCTCCTACTCCCACTGCAGAGCTGGAACGTGGGGCAGGGGTGACAGTAAGGACATTGAGTGGGATCCAGAAAGAGACTGGCAGGTTTGCACTTAAATATTAGCTCAACCTAGCTATGTTGCTCAGAGCGATGAAAGAATTTGCACCCTGGGCACCGTAGTTAGGCCGACTTAAGCATTCCAGTTCTAGTTTACTACTGTGCGCCCCGCCCCCCCCCACACACACACACACACCATGCGGGACAAGGTTAGAGGGACAGGCTGGCAGGGAGAGGCTGCAGTTTAGGACTACACGGGTGCCTACTGTAGACACAGGCTAGATCAACAGAAGAATTCTTCCATCAATGTAACTACCATTGATTACCTACAGGATAGGAAAACCCCTTCTGTTGCTGTAGTTGGTCTACTGTATCGTAGACATCTCTGTAGGCACCTAAATTCCAGACCTAGGTACATAACCCAAGACTTCTGCATCTAAGTCCCAATTTTGGCTCCACTGCAATCCACAAAACTCCTACCGAATTCTGTAGGAGCCTAAATTCACTCAATGCCTAACTTTTCAAAGTAAAATTTCCCTAGGCACCTGTGTTTCAGCCTCTGGGCATGCACACTGCTGCCTCCCTCTATGCGTCGAAATGCCTGTCTACTGCCTGAGCTCCAGAGTGATCCACGAATGAGGGGAAAATAGACGTTCAGCCGCCTAAGTCATATGCAGGGCCTACTTATTGGATCAGGTCCCCCATTCAAAATGTAGTTGGAGGAGGTGGTGGTGTCATCCGCCTTGTAACTTTGGAGACCCAGGTTCAATTCCCCTATCGCTGCAAATGGGGAGGGGGGAGACCCTTGTTCAAGTCCTACCTCTCCAAAGAGTACTCTAACCACGGAGCCGGAGATGACCCAGGCCTGCCGATAGTGCAGGGGGGAGCAGAGTGAGGGCAGCTGGCTTCAGCAGTGTTACTGAGGCGGCTCAGTCTCTGTGAGCATGCTCAGTACAAGCCAAGCAGCAAATCAGGGAGGGATGCGCATGCCCCCCACCGCGTCTCCTCTGCCCTGAGCTAGGGGATGTTCTGATGTGGGGTTCAGTCAGCCTCTGCTGTTGAAGCTGTTCCATTCTGGATAAAGAGTGACAGGACCAGGGGGACTGCAGCATCATTCTCTATCTCATTCTGGTCCGAGAGGGAGGAAGGATGTAATTTCTTAGATATCTGAAATCCCTGCATCGAGATACAAAGACTAATGTGGTTTTTTTTAAATGTATGTTATAAGGAGCATCCCTCCATATTTGACGCTAGGAAGTGTGAGTAATTAAAACATGTAAGAAAATATAGATTTTTACCTCCCATATCTACCTAATTAAGAAAGATACAATCCAGTCCTAGTAAACATTTAAGGAAGAAAATTATTTCAGATCAATTCTAATATTATTTAGCAATGTATTCTTAAATACCAGGATATGAACTTCCCTCCCACCTCCACCAGTTCAAAATGGCCCAGGTTTGGTGACCTGCAAGGTGCATCTATTTGTGGAGACTGCTATGGAAGTGGGTTTTTAGAGAAATGATTAATTATTTGTATTATCATAGCCCCCAGAAGTCTCAGTCACAGACCAGGACCCCATTGTGCCAGGTGCTGTATAACCCCAGGATAAGAAGACCATCACTGTCCCAAAGCTTGCAGTCTGAAGTATAACACAAAGGACAACAGCTGGAATTATATTTGTAAAGGGGGGGGGGGATTTTTATTCTGTAAGCTATTTAATTATCCTGGAGCCTTGGATAGGTGCCTCTTTATTTTTGTATATATAGCTAAATAAATAATGCAAATAATTTCAAGATTAATTATGCAAATAAATTGGCATATTGTGTCCCTTCTTCCAACAGTGTTTTCTTCTGACAACAGGATTGCCCCTCTGCTGAGTGGTAGCAGATGCTGGGGCCTTGCACATTATCTTTCCACTGGAGGAGAAATCAGTGACATGGAAGCTAGGTATATTCTCAGTGTAACTAGATTTAACACATTCACCAGTTCTGGAACAAGATGATCAACTAGCATACAAAGCAATACCTTCTTTCAGGAATCTCAGCCCAACACCAATATCTGGTAATCTGGTTCCCAGATAGCAACTCTGCTTCAAGAATTGATTCTACTCGGAGACCAGTGCAGAGAGCAAACTTCTGCTTTCACAGCTCTATCTCTCCAAATCCTTGTACAACCAAAGACTAAAAACTTACTTGCACGCTAAGAAAAAGAATTTGGGAGATTATGTGCAACTGCGCTACCATATCAATATATTAAACATTCAACATCAAGCAATCATGTTCACAATATAAAGCAAATAATAGCTACTCCCATTTCCATCACCCAGTAGATGGAGAGAGAGAGAGAGAAAAAAAAACAATAATACAGTTTTAACCCAAGTTAAAGCAACTAACTTTCGGGAGGGGAGGGATAGTGGTTTGAGCATTGGC